ACTACCACTGATTAAGCCCTTACTCCATGCAGGCACTGTGTTAAGTGTACCACATGCTTTATCTCATTTAACATGATCATTGTGGCAACCAGTACTGATATTGTCCTCCTTTCCCAGATGGGGAGCTCTGGTGGCATAGTGCCTAAGGCATTTAACTGCTAACCAAAAGGCTGGCAGTTCAAACCCACCAGCCACTCCTCCCAAGGAAGACTGGGCAATCTACTGCCATAGAGATACTGCCTCCGAAACCCAAGGAGGGGTCGCTATGAGTCGGAAACGACTCAATGGCAGTGAATTCTTTTTTTAAACAGATGAGGCTACTGAGACTTAAAGGGGTGAAGTCACTTACTCAACGCCACACAGAAAGGCAGTGGCAGCGTTGGGACTGAACCCAGATCCACCTCACCTAGAAGTTCACCTTCCCCTGCCCAGCAGTGCAGCCAGGCTCTGAATGCAGTCCCGATTTTCTCATCTCCCCCGACTGCCTGGCCCCAGTGCTGTCCACATGTCCCCAGCTGACAGTCCCCCTACTACAACTTCTGTTTTACTGCTGTTAATTTTTTGATTATTTATTCACTCATTTAACACCTACTTATCGAGCCCCTTTTATGTGCCAAGTTCGGTGCTACATGCTGAGGAGGTGAGGGAAGCAAAAAGCGGACAGCATTTCCGCCTCCGCAGAGCTTCCAGTGTAATGAGAGAAGCGGATATTGATCTAAGAATCCCACACAGAACAGCAGTTATACCTGATTATTCCTACAAAGGCAGGGTACCCACTGCCAAAAGGTACACAGCGGTTAAGAATGGCTTCCCTGAATGGCTTCTGGGGGATATTTTAGGATATTTCCCAGAAAATAACCCCTAGATTTGAAAGAGGAGGAGTTAACTTGATGAATGGAAGGAGAAGAAGGTTTCAGGCAGAAGTAATAGCATTGCAAAGGCCCTGGGGAAGATGCCTAGTATAGATGAGGGACTGGAAGTGGCTGGTGTGGCTGGCATGGAGGACCAAAGGAGAAGAAAGCAGAGGCCAGACTATGCAAGGTCTTGTAAAGTGCTAAGGAGTTTGAACTTTAACCTGAGGGCAGTAGGAAACCACTTGGTGGTGAGGGTGATTTTGGGTTTCAAAAAGATCATACAATTGACAGTGTAGGAATACAATAGATGGAGTTAGGAGGTACAGACAGACCAAAACTAACAAACAAACAAAAACTCACTGCCATTGAGTCAATTCTGACTCACAGCGGAACCTCCCCCTTTGGGTTCCAAGGCAGAAAATCTTTACAGAAGTAGATTGCCCCATCTTCCTTCCATGGAGTGGCTAGTGGGTTTGAACCACCAACTCTCTGGTTAGTAGTCAAATGCCTTAGGCACTGTGCCACCAGAGCTCCTTTACAGACAGACCAGTTAGGAGCTATTGCAGGCGTCCAAATTTATATCTGTAAGAGAGAAGAGCAGCTTGGAACAGGATAATGGCAGTGAAAATAAATGGGTAGATAGTTTGAGTCAGAGACACATGTTACTCTTTTTGTTTGTTGAGGATTCATGAATTCCATATTGGACACTGAGTCGGGATATATAAACTCCATGAAGGCACAGCTGCGTCTTTCTTGTTTATTGCTACATTTGCAGTGTCAAGCACAGTGCTTAACACCTAGTAGTCACAATGTAAACATTTGGGAAGGGATGTGAGTGCATACAGTCTGAGTGAGAAACCTTGGAGCCGTTTCTACAGAATAAAGTGGAAAATGAAGCAATATGTGGTTTGAAGGTCAGAGTCTCATTTCTGCTCTGCTACATCTCTGCTGTGTAACCTTGGGGATTTCCATGAAATTCTGAGACCCATTTTCCTCATCAGAGATAACAACAGTATCTAAAGTGACATCATGTGTGGGAATGAGCATTGTAGTCTGCAAGGTACTATGCTGCTGGGTGCTGTGGAGTCCAATTTGACTCAGCCACTCCATGTGGCGGAGTAGAACTGACCCATAGGGCTTTCTAGGCTGTAATCTTTAGGGGTACACACTGCCAGGTCTTTGTCCCATGGAGCTGCAGGGTAGGTTCCAACCATGAACCTTCTGGATGGTAGCTGATACTATGACATTCTTGATTTAAGGCTGCCTTCCAGAGGGTTAAGGAGCTCTGGTGGTATGGTGCCTAAGGCATTTGACTGCTAACCAGAAGGTTGGAGGTTCAAACCCACCAGCTGCTCCATGGAAGGAAGATGGGCCAATCTACTTCTGTAAAGTTTTACTGCCTCAGAAACCCAAAGGGGGTTACTATAAGTTGGAATTGACTTGATGGCAGTGAGGTTTTTTTTTTTTTTGGTTTTCCAGAGGGTTAGGGATGTTGCATATGTAACCTCCAGACAACATTGGTTTCTTTATGATCAAGAAAAATTCCTTGAATCACCATAACCAAAGATTTTCTTTCTGTATTCACCTTTCACTTAATGCTAGGCATGTACCCATGGTAACAATAAAATGGATTTGGCACTGTTTTATCTTTACCTGCGACAATGGACTCAATCTTATTCATGGCAGCTTCACTTTGAGCTTCTGCAAGTTTTTCGTTGATTTCCATTATTTCCATGAGGAATTGCTTGTCCATTTCATAATCTGTCCCTTCGGGGATCTCTATTCCATGGAGCTTGAGCTATTGAGGTATAAAGCAGATAAAATAAGTTTGGTTCAAGAAACTATGGCCAGAGTCCTGTAACTCCTACTCACCCTTCAGAACATATTATCACTTGTGGAGAAAACCTGAGCTGTCTTGATAATGAAAGCATGAGGCTGGGGGGCCGAAAGCTTGGCCTGAAACGGTGCCGGGACAGGATCCCTCTCTGTGCTACTTGGAGCTGTGTGACCCTGGGTTACTCTTCCACTCAGGAAGTTGAACTAAATGTTTGCAAAGATTCTCCCAAAACCAACCAAAAATGACCCTTCCCTAAAAGCCATCATCAAATCTTTGAAATTTATAGAAAATGGTAAAAAGCAACCGGGGCAAGTAACATTTGCAAGAGAATACTCAGAGAAAACAATACTCGTGTAGTATCTTAAAACAAAAACAAAACTCACTGCCACTGAGTAGATTCCAACTGATAGTGACCCCCACTGGGTTTCTGAGGCTGTAAATCTTTACAGGAATAAATCACCCCATCTTCCTTCCATGGAGTGGCTGCTGGGTTTGAACTGCTGACCTCCTGGTTAGCAGCCAGATGCCTTATCCACTAAGCCATGAGAGCTCTTAGAGGCTAAATATTGGGTCTCAAGCACTCTTCTGCTGAACAGAAGGGAGCAGCTGTCCCACAATGCCATGGGCACCAGGCAAAAACTAAAAAAAAAAAAAAAAAGGGAATAAATGTTACCAGGGACAAATGTTTTCACTACAAAGGAAACTATCAGAAATAAAAAAAAAGGGAGCTCTGGTAGCATAGTGCCTAAGGCATTTGACTGCCAACCAGAAGGCTGGCAGTTGAAACCCATCAGCCAGTCCCTGGAAGGAAGAGTGGGCAATCTACTTCCATAGTGATACTGCCTCAGAAACCCAATGAGGGGTCATTATAAGTCGGATCCAACTCTACAGTAATGAGTCACCAGGCAGTCATGCATAAAAGACTTGGGAAATCACCTTACAAGGTATAGGCCTCTGCTTAGGGGTGCCAGAAGGGTCTTATAGGCATCATTCACCAGGGTCGAATGCTTCTCTGAGAAGTCCTTTTCAGTCTGTTAGGGGGAAATGAAGACAGTCTTATTACTATCCAAATTAACCAACTTACATTCACCAACTTTTATAGAAAGCTGACGGGTTACTCAGCTATAGAGACACATGAAATCCCAACGCGTGCCACAACATGGATGAACCTTGAAAACATTATGCTGAGTGAAATAAGTCAGCCACAAAAGCATGATCACAAACATTGTATGATGTCACTTACATGAAATAGGCAAAAATACAGAAACCAAAGCTTATTAGTAGTTACCAGGGGTGAGGGAGTGGGGAGAAAGGAGAATTATTGCTCAGAGGGCACTGAGTTTAAGTGGATGGTGGTGGAACAGTTTGGAAAAGAATAGTGTTCATGGTTGTACAACATAAAGAATGCAATCAATGCCACTGAATCATACGTGTAAAAACTGTCAAAGTAAGAAATGTCACAACTGAAAAATAAATAAATAAAGCTGATAGGTGGAGGCCTCAGGAAGTGGCCAGAGTGAACTGGTGCTGGATGAGCTTAGTTTTCCATTGATTGGTTTTAATTTGCTGGGAAGTCAGATAAAGGCTGTGAGTGCTTGACAGCTCCACGGCCTGGCTGGCTGGGGCAAGGCTACCACAGGTTGGAGCTGGTTGGCTAACTTGTCTCCGATAATCCCGTAACCACAAGGCCACTGCCACCCACCTAGTGTGCACATGTGTGTTGGAGATGGTTGGGGGTGGGCAATAGGCTACCTGAGACCTCTGGCTGAAGAAATCTGGATGGACAAGACGCTGTAGTTGCTGGTATCTATGCTGGAGCTTCATGGCGTCTACTCTGAAGGAACGGTTGCTAGAAGGAAATCAGCAGATGAAATTCACACAACAAATAATTGAAGATTTATGTACTAGGGGCCTGATTCCTGCTCTCATGGGGGAAGACACAGTGAACAGAGAGTGGTAGGGACTATGAAGGAAAACAGAACGTGGTCAAGGAGAGTGGTGAATGGGGTGGGCAGAGAGATGACATTTGAGGTAAGACCTGAATTTGGGGAGGAGTATTCAAAGGGAAGGTTGGGCATTTCTACTTCCGTAGTGATACTGCCTCGGAAACCCAAGGAGGGGTCGCTATGAGTCGGGGCCGACTCGATGGCAAACAACAACAACAACAACATTCAAAGATCACTT